CCAGCTGGGAGACCATCCTTCCCATATGGAAACCCAACTCCCCCTGCACCAGCTAAACCTGCAGCACCAACACCAGCTCCAGCTGGGAGACCATCCTTCCCAAATGGAGACCCAGCTGCCCCTGCACCAGCTAAACCTGCAACACCAACACCAGCTAAACCTGCAGCACCAACACCAGCCCCAGCTCCAGCTGGGAGACCATCCTTCCCATATGGAATCCCAACTCCCCCTGCACCAGCTAAACCTGCAGCACCAACACCAGCTCCAGCTGGGAGACCATCCTTCCCAAATGGAGACCCAGCTGCCCCTGCACCAGCTAAACCTGCAGCACCAGCCCCAGCTCCAGCAGGGAGACCATCCTTCCCAAATGGAGACCCAACTCCCCCTGCACCAGTGCCACCAATGACAGCCCCAGCTTGGAGTCCATCTTTTCCATATAACGGCCCAAATTGCCCTGCACCAGCTACACCAGCACCACCCTTTCCATACATAGAGCCGGCACCTTCCAAACCAGCACCACCAAGCCCTGCTTCCATTCCTGCTGGTAAACCATCCTTTCCATAAGGTTCACTTGACTGACCATGCTTACCATACAGATCCCCCCTTTTAGCATCAACACCTGCCCCAACTGGCAGACCATCTGGACCATATAAAACCTCCATTTCTCCTACAAAGCTGCCACCTGCACCAGGCCTGCCCCCATCTCCAGCTGGAACACCACCTGCACCATACAGCAAGCCAGACATTCCTGCCTGACCTACATGACCACCAGCATCAACTAACAGGTTGCCTTTGCTGTAGGGAGACCCTATTTCTCCTTCTCTATTTATACTGACTGCATTCATATCAACTGCAGCAGGCAGACCATCCTTGCTATAGACAGAATGTGCACCTCCCACTCTGGCTGAACCAAGATTGATTCCACCTGACACAGAACTTCCATCAGTGGCATCTAAAGTCTTCATACCACCAAAGGCAGCTCCAGAACTAGCATCACCTAGTTTAGCATTCTTGTCATGCCAAGAGTTCGCACCTTCTGCATCACCCATGTCAACATCAGCTGCACCTAACATGCTATCATGTCTACCATCTACAGAATGAGATTTAGTTCCTCCTCCTAATCCATCATCAGTATCTCCTCTGCCTGACATAGAACCCTGACTGTGTACATGCCTCAATCCAACTTTGTCTTCTCCAAATTTTAATCCAGTGTCCTCTTCTCTAGCAAACTGCCCAGGCCCCACGATTTCATCTCCAATTTTGTGCAGCCCTTCTTTTCCTAAAAATTTATACTCTCCATCAGCATCAGGGGAGTAGCCTTGACCGCCGCCGTGGTCACTCCTGTGCCAGCCCCCTCTTTTCATGCCAGCATCCATAGGATGATCTTCATCGCCAACATACTCTCCATGTTTAAGCCTCTTGGCTCTGTCTTTATCTGGCGTTCCCTTCTGATGGTCAGATTTTTCATGTTCCTCATCCTGTATCTTTGCCTCTCTGGCATCTGTATTGAAGACGTAGTGTTTGATTGGAGGAGAAATAATTTAGAGCAAAAGAAAGATAAAAAAGCAACAGGCAATCAGTATGTCACCTACTGCATCAACAACCACAGAAAACATGTCAGCATTAGTTACTTCATTCTAAGTCACAGAAATACAATTTATTTCATTTAAATAAACTTATATTCAGTTCAAACCCTAATTTTATTTGTCACACTAAGACAGTTTTATATTTCTAACAACTACTTTTAGCAAAACTTGCTTGTTACAAAAGAACAAAACAAATAAAAGCAAAAAGGAAAAACCAACTCTTAGGAATGGAAAAAAGAGGGCACATCTCCAGCAGGATGAGTCCAATTAATAGGACCATAGGCAGTATCTGGGATTCATTCCTTCATGCCTTCTTCCTCCCTCCAGCCCTGAATGAGTTACAGAACATCCTATGCACAGAGAGTCCATCAGTTCCCAACTCTGAAGCAGGACCTCACGTCAGGACAAACAACAAGGGAAAATGCTGTCACATCTCAAGAGGAAAGAAGGTCCAATCGGACTGCCATTTCTACAAGCACTACTTAGAAACTAGAGGCTCCTCATCTCCCTTCTCAGCAGCCAATAAGACATTGAGGGAACATGATTTGGAGTGTCACTTACGCTCTACAAGAAGCCAAGCCCTGGAGGAGCAGAGTCCAGTGTCGAGGGTGTACAAGCCGCTGTCAGTGGTCACAGCATTTCTGATGATAAGCTGGTGGTTCAGACCATCGGGGCTCACAGAGATCTGGTGCTTCTCACTTGCCTCGAGGGGATGGGCTTTATGCAACCACACAGCATCAAAGCAGGGAGTGCGCAGGACACAATCAAACACAACATCTTCGTCCTCGTGACAATGCAGATCGCTGAGCGGCTTCTGAAATCTCACAGGGATGGCTGGAATGGGAAAAAAGAAAGGAAATGGAGCCAGCTCTGTCTTCCCAGAAAGATGTGTTGCTGTTGAAGGAAGAAAGGGACTTGCTATGCCTGTGAACACTGCATCAGGCAGCAAAAAAAAACTGGGATCTGCTCCTGTGCCCAGTTCTACAGGATAGAAAGGCAGGTTTTGGTCTTTTTGTTAATCTTAGCATCAACATTTATACCACCCATCACTGCGATGTGCCATAAATTTGCTGTCATTAATCTATTTCAGCAGTATGACATCACCATTAAGGTTGGCAGTTATTATCCTGAGCTGACAAAAATGCAGCATAAACTCATGAATTTGTCCTTTGCCATCCAGAGCTGAGAACCCAAACCTCGTCCTGTGGAATACAAATGCAGCATCCATCCACGACGATCACCTGTTCTGTACCTGTGTCATAAGGAGCAAACCCTCATGTGGCAACACAAAAACCACTTCTCTGCTGTTATCAGCTGTGGCTGCTGAGCTCTGCATATGGCCCTATGTGAAAAATACATTCTTGTTACAGCTGCCCATTACCCATATCCAACTCAAACCTTACATTCAGCATCCAGCTCAGTTGAGAAAATAGGTACATCCTCCACTTTGACTTGATACAAGCCTGCATCTTCTGGATGCACATCGTTGACAATAAAATGATACCTCTTTCCAATCTGTCTAAGGTAATACTTTCTGTATTCATCCCCAGTTCCATAACGGACCTTCTCACCATCCTAGGAAGAGAAACAAAGCACTCTCAGAAGCAGCATACAATTAGCAGAAGGCATTTAAAAAAAAAAAAATCAGGCTAAATTTTTTGCTATGAATGCTTTCTTGATACCAACGAGAAACAAGAGAAAAGTCTACACTGCATTCCAACTTGCAGTGGGCAGTGCTCACTGTTCATACAAAACACAGGCAATTAAATGTGCAATAAGACCTGCACAGAACAGTGTCTGACTCTCACGTTAGGCCAAGTGCTTTACAAGCTTATGTAAGGTTTTGAAGCTTAACTAATACACAGCTGCTGCAACTTTGAAGATTTAGTATCTCCACAAACAGAAAAACAGGCAAGTTTGCCACTCTCCCATGTGTGACACATCTGCTGTGACTGCACAGATTGCAATTTGGAAGCCCTTACTCTGACCTCCTCTTTAATTCAGCCCATTTTCCCCTGTGCTAAAGCTACTAACGACAATTCTACTGAAATGTATCTTCCAGAAAAACATCCAGCGCGCCGATCACACAGGCATCACAGCAGAGTGACTACAGGACTCCGTGGGATGTCTTCCTTCCTGGATGTCTCCTTTCACAAAATTGAATTAGAATGGTGTATAACACTCAAGTGAATTAAATCTGTCTTTCCAATATGAGAGCACGGAATTTGTGCATCCTGAAAGCCATAGTTAGAATTTCCTCTTACCTGAAGAGCTCTGGAAGTCAACAAGATGTCAGTAACTGGCTGAAGTCTTTCTGCTGTGCTAGGATCAATAAATCCTAAGCGATATTCACCACTAAAAACTATCTGGACCACCAAGCCAACACTTTTTACCTAGTCAGGTAAGGACTCTGCAATGGACAGACTTCTTTAAGACACTTTCTTGTTCCCAGATGCTGCCCAATCAATAAAGCATTTCATGCAGACAACTACAGCGTCAGAAGAACTGGCCAACTCATTTCTCCTCTCCTACCTTAAGCAGATAAATGTTGCTGCTAGCACTTTTCAGGTCCATCTCCACAGTAAACGAAGCACTTCCATCCTTGTTGACCTTAATGTGTTCCATGTATTTGATACTGTGAATTAACTGGAAAAATAAAACAAAAACAAACCAAAATTAACAACAAGAATTTAGTAAAAAGAAAGGTTACCATGACAGAAGTCCTTAAGCTGTTGAACTAGTGTGAAATCTACCTTCCATCTGCACAGAAAAGAGCCACCTCTAACTGCATGTGTATGGAAGAAGCACCTGTAAGTTTCCTGAGTTGCCTCCTGTGGGCAAATTGTATTTAACGTGTGATGCCCTTCATACAACCTACAACCTCTTCCTGCCCAGGTTTCCACATGGTTTGTATGTGCATATAAATCCCCAGTTTGGTGTTCAAATTAGCTAAATTGTGTAATTGACTGTCTCTGAGGATATGCAATTTAATCAGTGGAACATCCTGAACTCAGGATCTCCTGAAATTTATGAAGCCAACTTCAAAAAAGTCAGTAGCATTTCGGTCCACGTGTAAAAAACAGGACTTTAAAGCATCGCCGCAAATCATTCCTTGCCATACAATAAAATTTTCACCTTCAAAGCAATTTAGGAAGGTCTCAGTCTGTTTTCAGAAGCTACTGAGTAACTGTAGGACTTGGCAGTTTGTTTAGAACTCGGTGCTTTCAGTGCTTCAGTGCTTATCCTACCTTTGCTTGTTCATTCTCCGTATCCTTCCTCAAATCCTGCAGCGCTCTCAGCATGCCACGGAAGTCAGAAATTCCATACTTGATACAGATTCTCTCATAATCTTTCTTATCTGCATGCAGTAACAGTTGGAAGACCGCATCTTTGTCCAGTACTTTTTGTTTTGGTAGTGGAGCCCTTAGAACCAAGAAGAAAAAAAGATATATCAAGAAATTTGGACACAAAACAAGGCGTCTTATTCCTCTACACTTCGTCCTCTTTTCAGCTTTCTCTGTTATTTCTGTAGTTTATTTGTCCCTGTGCACATAGAAAAGAAAAAATGGGACCTTTTGGGGCCTTTTGGCCTCACAGAGGGTGGCAGGTTGTTCTCCCACATCTCTCCATATGTGAGCAACTTCAGAAACAAAGAGTTGACGTGAAGGTTTAAGAAGCTATCACACCCAGAAGCATCTGGGAAGCTTTAAGATGGTCTTCATTACATGGAGGCTTACCGCTTCTTCAGCGTCTTCTTGAGGTCCTGAAGACTCTTTTTCAATTCTATTACAGAGGACAAAAAGGAAAAGGAATCATTAATTGTAACAGCTCAAAGCCCTATTTTAACATGTCGTCTTACCCAAAGGTAAGCACCAAGCAGACAGTATGCACAGAACTCTAGAAATTTATCACCTTTTCCTACTCCATTCTTTGCAAGTTTGGGGTAAGTTTCAAGGCCACAAAAGACAGAGAAACTCCTAAATTATATTGCTGGGTTTTTTTTCCCCATTCAGCATGGGGACAATTTCTTCATGTTCCTTTTGTTTCTGCTGTAATGTCTCAAGAATTAATCATTCTACCCCCTGTTAAAGACTGGGAGGCGGGGGAGAGCTGGCAATACTCTCCTGTTCCTTCCTCAAAGACCTTTGGCATTTTCTACATTCACCATGCAATGTCTGACTTCGTGTTGATTCTTCTCCTCACACAAACCAAGGAGAATAAGTAGTAATGTGCCAGACTGAGCAGCGTTCAGTATGCCAAAAATATTTATCTAACTCACCTTCAGCAGGATGGCCAGTAACGTAGTTTGCTTTCCTCTTAAAGCCAACTGGTAGTTTAGAAGAGAAAAAACAGGAAAAACAATCCATCAGGTAAACAAGATAACAGACTATATATCAGTAAGACTATGAATTATAAAACCAATACATCTGTCATTAATGCAAGAGGAAAATAAATTCTAGCTTGGATTTCCTTGTCAACTTGATGCTGATTCCTTGTAATATACATCCTTAACACTGTATTTCTACTGCAATTGCTTCTGTGCTCATTAGATGTCTAGGTCTCTACCCTATAAAGCTTGTATTTTAAGTAATGTTGGGAAATACTGGTATTTCTTTAGAGAGCTAGGGTGCAAGGATTACCAGGCACAATGCAGGTAATTGCTTTCTAAGCTTATTTCATAGGTAGGTAGGTGAAGCAGAGACTTCCAAAGTAGTCCACACCTTCAGCTCCAGTACAGAACAGTCAGCTATATTTTAGCCATTAAGAACACATCTCTCTCCACTGACTATGAAGGGGAACAGTGGGCTAGGGCAGGTGGAGACATTTGAGATGAAATGAGATGGATCCCCCCAAAAAGACTGCCTGAATTGCCCAGCATCATAAAGGATCTAGTCAATTCAGCACTAAATCCAGAGCTTCTGAGCATGGTCTAGTGCAACAATCACAATATCCAGCTTCTTCTGTCTTTTCTTAAAGCTCATGTTGTCATGGAGCACCAAAGGGGGGGGAGTTGCCAGAACTCCAGTTCTCAGTGAGAAGAAATTAGCTCTCCACACTGAAGATGCTTGGACAATGCTCTGGGCACCCACTTGCAGAGGACAGTGAAGCCCAATGTTTGGGACCACAGGATACCTGCATTACAGAAACTGTCAATCCTACCTTGTATGATCCTGAGGCCAGCAGAACATGAAGCTTCCCCATATTCATTTACAGCAAAGCAACGGTACAAATCAGAGTCACCGGCAGTGATTTTATTTATCTTAAAAAGAAGAACACAGTAAGAACTCAGTCATGCACTGTGGTTCAGTTACACAAATCCTAACAAAACATTACTTGCTGGAATTTCAGATCTTCTGTTCCTACAATTCTGCTCAACTTTTGTGCTGTTTCAGACCTGGTGACATCTTGATCAGCTTTTCTTTGTGAAACACTTGGACCATTTTCTCCCTCGACACGTTTTAAGAGAGGAAACCCACATCATGAAATCACCTCTAACCTTTGGAACCTGCATCTATCTCGACCTTCAGATCCTCTTCCTACTTCATCCTGATCATTGTCACGTGGATGGAGTGATGAAATTCAGTTCCATGCTTTTCTAGTACTTGGTCACCCACACACTTCTAATTGCTGATGCTCTCTCCCCCGGCACCCACTGCACATTTATACATTTCATTGCACTCTTTGTCCTGTGTGTGCTCTGCAATATTTGATCTTTACCTGCAGAATGTGTTCGCTTGTAGCTGGACTGTAGAACGTCAGATATTTGGCAGGATCATTTATTTCTCCTTTTGCACGTTTCCATTTCACCTCAGGGGCAGGGACACCCTTGACCACAGCTCTGAATATGGCATTTTTACCTGTCAAAAGAGGCAAGAAATTAGTTTTTGAACGTGAAGCCTCATGACAGGCTCCCTGTGTTATCAATAGAGCATTCTTCAGAGTAAGCCACCACTGCTGTACCTTAACTGTCTGCAAAGAACAAATGGGAGGACCCATGCAGGCCAGGGTGTTTCCTCATGTGCTCTATACATGTAATCTTTTCTGAATACCTTTCTCATCTGCTGGCCTGGCACTCCCTTCCACTCCAAACACAACAGGCTCTGTTATTTGAGGATGCGAGGAAGGGAGAAGAGGATGGTGCTCACCTGTGAGCTCCCTCCTTCACCTCTGCTCCTCTAACAACCTGAGTATCCTTCATCTGACCATTGAAATCCCCAACAGCATCACCACTATTTAGTGCAAATGCTTTTTTTTTTTTCCTGAAGAGCTTCAAAGCCATAGGAATACAATACAACAATTCAGAGATGTGACTCATGAGTAGGTAAGTGGGAGTGTCCCACTGGGATGGTAATGGAGATCAGTGGATGTAACTCATGGAGGAAACGATTACTATCTTTCCTTTGTAACAACTTTGGTCTTCAGATGACCCACAATGTAAAAGCATCTTCCCAGAAAGTCTTGCAATATTTTCCACACCCTTCTAAAGAGTCACCACCAAAACCAAGCAGGTACGGTGCAGCAAGCTCTGTTGGCCATGAAGCCAGCAGATTCTCACCAAAGGGCATTTCTTTCAAACTTCTTTTGAGACTGCAGTACCAGAACTACCTATTATTCAAAGCTGATTCCAATTGATTACACTTCTGTCAAATTCTAACAGCTAGGAGTACCTGTTAACAGATACACTGAACAAAATGAGGCAGTGATGATATAATTAAAGATACTCACAGTGCATTTGCATAAACAGTGAACTCTGTTTTAGTGCCTGACCTTAATGCCCTAGTATTTTGTATATGAGCTATGCACAGCCTCTATTAGATGAAACAACAAAAAATTCAGATAGGATGATACAGCACTGCCTTGCTTCATACACGAAACTTGCTGGTAGAAGGAAGGAAACACCACTAGAGGCCACTGCACTCCTTCATAACATTTCAGGGGACAATGAGAATCGACACAAAGGCAGGAGAAGAAATGAAGAGTGCTCGAAGCTGTTCAGTCTGCTGACTCAGAGTTGAGACATGGAATCAAGGCTGCAGGTCCGCAGCTTTCACTGGTGGTTTGGGTTTCTTTCATTTATTTCTTTTAAAGAATCTCACCTTCCTGCAATGTTAGACTGACAGGTTTCCGCTCAAAGTCCGGTGTGCTGCATCCTTTTGGAATCTTATCCACAAACTGGGTAATGTGAACTCCTCGGATGGAAGATTTCTGGAGAGTTTTCACTAGAAAGACAAGGAAAAAAACACATTCCATTAAGATAACATGTTTACGCCTTAGAAATGGTCTCACAATCCACATAATCTCCCTGTAGAACAGTAACTGCTTCTGCTCAGCCTTTATTGAGCCAAGACCTCTCCATTCTTATGCTACAGGCTGGGAACACGCCTGAAGGCTGGGGGATTTCTGCCTGTGACTTTGTGCTGACTTACTGCAAAGCTATGACCAAAGTGGGAAGATCTGCAATCAAGATGGCAATCCAGGAGCAACGTCAGCTAACATGCCCAGCAATGCTTTGGACAGAGAATGCTTTACATCAATACAATTTCAAAATCTGGCATCAGGAAAACACTGCTGCAAAGGTCAGCACAACCCAACAAGCCTATCAGCAGCGTCTCTTCTCACCATGGTGAGGTAAACACCTCATTGCAAATAACACCAGGAACGAGTTGGGCTTATTCTCAGGTACAGTGCATACAGGTTTCACAGCTGTGACTGTTCTCTCACCTCCTGGACGGGTTGTCATGGTGCTTTGCTTGGCTGCTTGTGGTCAATACAAATAGACTACAGGTCCTCCTGCAAAGAAAAAACATTTCATTACTTGCAACTCAGAAGGAAAATGAAAGACCTCAATATTGCTTGCTTTTATGATGCAGCTTCTCCTTCCTCACTCGCTACATCCCAGCTGAGAAAGGCCTGCCAGGCAACACAGCTCTGCTGCCTCTTTCCAAAGCACATAACAACAATTTTGAACCACCAGCACAACACAAACCAGGTAGGAAAATGCCTGGAGGGCCTAAATGGTAAACAAACACATCTAACAGCATCCTTCAGACACATTCCTCGTTTCCATGTCATCTGGCTTCCCTCCAAAACCTCCTCTCGTGTTTCAAGCAAATATTACACCACATGGCACTCACATGGTGAGTTCTGATGGATGGTAAGAGCAGTTGCTGAGAAGAAAGCTACAGAGATGGATGTCTGAACTGAGGCACGAAGCAGGAGCACATCCTGATCTAAATTAGCTTGTCTAAATTAGCAACAAGCCTCAGTGCAGACCATAAGCTACTATTTACTCTAGAAGGAAATGGCAAAGTGTAAATTTGGCATTAACTAGTTATTGTCTCTTGTGTGACCCTTTGCTGAAGCTGCTTCTTTCTCTGTATTTATAAAGTGGTCAACATGTAAAGCAACACATCATCATCCTGCAAGCAAACCTTGCAAGCAGATTCCTTGTCATATGAGAGAGATACGGGCAGAAACTATTGAATTACTGAAGCTCTGAAAGAGCAATTAGATTAGATTCCCATGTGGGATTAAATGCTGTCTCTATTTACCCTCCGCACTCCTTCACTCAACACAAGAGTCACACAAGAACATGCAACTCTTCACAGCTTGAAAAGGCAGATGGTTTGGTCAGCACACCTACCATGTCATTTCTGCTCCCTGATTGCTACACTGTGCCTGATGAAAGCTCTGGGTTGGACCCCAGCATTTCCTCGTCATAGGTTTGGTCAGACTTGTTTATCTGTGTGATACTTGGTTTCACTGAGGGTAAAACACAGCCAACAAAAGTCACTTGTGCCATGTTTCACAGACCAAGGGCAGTGGAACTCTGTATTCTGGGGTCAAATTCTGAACCAAAAGAATAAGCATTGTTTCCCCACTCATCAGAAGCTGCAGATAAGAACACAGGCTTCTCTCCACTGGCTCTAACGTGGTCCTCAGCCTAACCCTCATTTTAGGGCTCTACACACTACACTACCTCATAGCAACAGCAGGATCAACTCTGACTCCTTGGAAAATCATTGTTTGCCTCCCTAACTTCAGTGGAGATGCATGTAAAACAATAGGAATGGAAAATGATACGTGAGACTGTGAATGACAGCCAGTTTTTCTCTTTCCACCTCAGCTCCAATCTGGTGTGGGTGTTACATATCCGTGTTCTAGCCTGCCTGCATTGCTATTTTGGCGTTATCATGTATCTATTTCTGTTTAAAAAAATAATAATAATAATGATAATTAAAAAAAAAAAAGGCTTCTAGTGTTTTAAGAATTGCAACTGCAGGGAAGGAAGAGCTTGTGAGAAGGAAAAGTGCAAAGCTGACATCTCAGAAGGCGTTTCCAGGTTGCAGCACGCAGGGCACTGCGCAGCACAGCCCTTCAGGGACTCCCCATCGCTGCCTCCCGATGGTCTTCGTTTGCCCTCCGAGGCACTGACCTGTATTAATAGCAAACACCATAATCCCCTACTGCCTCTTGCAGTCTTGCACCTTCCTAAACGTGTCACCACTCCACAGGCTGAAATGCCCAACTCTAAACTAACGTGACTGCTTGTCGTTAGCTTGCAATAGCATTCCCCCAAGCTCTCTTTGTGTTTGGCTCACATTCACCCTTTGCTTCTCAGGTCTTCTTCCCCCACGAGGCAGTTCTGACAAGCATCTACACTGAAACATCAACACTGTGCTCAGGTTCAAAGCCATTGAGAAACTTTATGTGTAAACTGGTGAGTTTACTGGACTGTAAGTATTGCAGAAATTCACGTGGATTAAAGATAAGCTGCTGTGAGTCCTCACACTCCTGTGAATTCTTGTCTTCTGGAGAGTGAGAGTGAAGCATCTTAATACCACACATTGACTGCACAGTTAAAATAACAGTGCTGGAATATGCAAGAGAACATTCCTCCAGTGTAATTAATCCAACTACATCACATTTTCTCATGCCTTCCGTGTTAAAATGAGCACTTGAAAATACCACATCAGCTGGCACAGAAACCTTCAGAACCTGCCCTGCTTATTTCTAAAGATTTGGCTCCCTCATTAATCGGATAACCTTGTTTTACCTTCACTTGGGTTCAGCCCTGATATACAGAAATCATAGAATGTTTAAAAGAAATGAAAGACAGCAAAAGCCTTCCAAAAATTGCCATGTTGGAATCCGTATCTCCACCCACAGCTGCCTGCGCCACAGCTCTCCAAACTGACACCATCACCGATGTTGCTATTTACTCAAAACAGGCAGCCAAATACTTCCAAAGGGCAAATTACCCCTCCTGTACGAAACACTGCTCACCACCAGTCCTGGCATAGCAGGGCTAATGCTGGAAGGAGCTCAACACTCAATTCTTTGACAAGTAGCTCATCATCATGCGCTAGCCTCATTTAGATAGCCAACACCTGGCTATTTGGTGCCCTTTGCAGAAGGCCATGTGGTCTTCAGTTGCAGAGATGTCCCCTCAGGAGACAGCAACAAAGCTTCCACTGCTCCCAGTAGGGCAAGAGCAAGTCCTCGACCACTGACAACTACTGACAACATCTTTAAACCAGCAAAATAAAGCAGATGGGAGGTCTGCCTTTCATCCTGCCTGTCCACCAATCTGATGAGCTAACCGAGGAGCCCATTCCCTCTGCACTCAACCAGGCACTTGTGGTAGGGTCACGTATCAGCTAAGTATACCAAAACATTTGGGAGTCCCAGGGTTCGGCTGTACTGGTAGTACCACAAGTAGTTATTTGTGAGCTTCAGATATGGAACACACAGAAAAGAGGTGACATAATGGCTGGCAGAGACTGGTGAACAAAGTTAGGTAAAATCCAAGAGAAGTGACAGGCAGCAAGGGAGCGATGCACAGGGAATGGGTCCAGGAGCATAGGATGGACTGCAGATATTGGTGCAAGCACAGTACACACATGGCACAAAGCCATCAATGCAGACCATTAAAAAATAAATAGTAACAGACACAGCATCCTTTATTCAGAGAGAGGTGAGGAACTGGAACAGGTTGTGTGGAGCAGCTGTGGATGCTCCATCCTTGGAGGTGTTCAAAGCCAGCTTGGATGGGACCCTGGGCAGCCTGATCTGCTGGTTGGCAACCATTGGAAACAGATGATCTTTAAGGTCCCATTCAACATAAACCATTCTAAGATTCTATTTCTCTTTGTAATTCATATAGAAAACAAGAGATCCCCAACCAAGTGAGCGATCTAAACACCAAACCATTGCATGTTCTGCCTCAAATTCCAGAACCTTGCACTAGCAGATCCAGATACTCATTGAGAAGAATCTTGTACTTAAAACTTCTCTTTCAGCTTTGGTCGGGCTTGATTTGTCTGCCAACTTTGAGCACTATTTGCAGCTTGAATCCTCCTATTTCAGAAGATTCTTGAAGAATAATCTCATACTTTGTTAAAAACACAAAACTGAAGGCCAGCAACTGTAGAAGCGATGACTTCATGAAGATTTCTGAGCAGGTCACAAGTGTTGCAGTGATGAATGGAGGTCTTGTGTGGAGTGGGGAGGAACGCCCATGGATCAGATTCTGTGTGACTTATTCCTCCAGTAAATCTATATTTGACTCCATCTTCCCTCCTGCCTCAGGGATTATGAATATAATGTGATGGCTCATGCTGCCCACAGTTTCTATGCACAGATACAATATAGCTGTGTGCTTGTGAAAGAGCACTGGTACAAAACACCCACAGGACTCACACACCATCTGTATCACCTGCGTGAATTAGAACAGTGGCGCTCTAAGAGCTGTGAACAGGACACTGAGGTTATGGCAGTTGGGTGAAGCAGGCACGGGATGGCAACTCAAGCTCAAGCCAGTCTGTTCCTTCCAATATTCACAATACATCCATAAATTTCATAACAGACACGCATTTTCACACAGTCAATAAACTTGCAACAAGGTCTGCAGAGCAAATACATCACTTTTACTAAACATCCAGAAGACAAGGCAATGTATCCCCTGCTTGCCATCACAAGATGTCTCCAAGATCAGAAACCACAGCATACCAATGCTACATGGTGCCCCATGGGACAACCAGAGCAGAACTCCAACAGCCTGCCATGTTACCAGGGAAATCAGTGTGTGCTGTAGGACACTGGGAAGACCCAGAACATTTACAATTTTCAGACAGCAGCATCACAGAGCAGGGCCCACCATGGCAGCGATGGCTGCATCTCATTCTCCCAGCTCTGTATCACCCCTGCCACATATCCCAGGAGACATGACCAAACTCACTACCTTAGAGGTCGAGCTTCTGAGCTGATCCTGCTTTAATTCGATTCTGCTCCTCCCAGGAGCTGTTGGTTCGTTGCCTCAGATCACAGAACTCTTCATAGCAGTTGAAGAGGTCTCCTGGTCACAGATATTAGCAATCTGTATGGAAGAAGCCACATCCCTCATTAGTCTGACCTAAACATCACTAAGAAATACCAAAAGAAATGATACGTTCTTGTTCCTTCCTCACCTCTCCACTCTCCTGGAAGCCAAGCCTGCACTCAGCGGCAGCCTCACCAGGATGTCTCTATAGGGTGCTGTCTGTGGTTATAGGATTATACACCCTTGGTTCCCAGTGCAGCATGGGAAGCATGCTTGAACCCGGTGCCTTTGGCAAGCCTCAAACACGGCAGCTAGCCAGCGTGGTCAGATGCGACCATCAGTCAAGGCCATGCTGGATTTCCAAGTGCCACTTGGGTCAAGACTTTGTGTCTCAAGGTGCAAATATTCGTGTGGATCCATAGTTTAAGGAAGGGACAAGGCGGACATCCAAGTTTTGTAGGACACACCAGTAGCCTGGTTCTCAGAGTCACAAGGCCTTAGGAAATCTCCTAAGTCATTAGGAGAAAAATGCTGGATTCTGGCATCTGTTAATTGGGCAACTAAGTCTGGGCTTGGTCTTCATAATAGAGCAACACAGACCAGACAACTGAGATGCCTGAGGGAAACAGTTCCTTCTGCAATAGTTTCACTGCTAAAGGCAAAGCGGACATTTCCCTTTGCAGCCTTTGACTTCCAGTGCAAACACAGACTGACTCCCATTCCCACAAGCAGTAACAAGGCCACTTATTCCCACAGGCAGGTTTACCATGGCAACACCAGGGCAGCACATTGCACCCCAAAACCTTCTGCTTCCCATCTACCCTCGCAAAATGAGAACCTTCTTTCCTCCACCAGAAAGCTAACTAGGCAGCAAAGGCTCCTCCACAAAGCTGGCTGTGCTTGGAGATCTGGCCAGTCTGTGACTGAAATCCACCCCAGCAGCACAACACACGACCAGGGCTGCTCACTCTGGGGTTCCCCTTTCATTCACTCCTGCCTGAAAGCACATTTATTTTTTATTTTTTTCAACTTTGCCCTGTGTACCATGTATTACTTTAAATTTATAACACACGTATGCTCAACTCTGAGATACAGAGCTAGCTCCAGCAGTTAGCAGTGAATGTATTTTTATCATGCTGTCTATGGTTTGCATACTGCAAAGCTACAAGAACCAGAATAAAGTTTTCCTTTGATGTTCTAACTGATCAGAGTTCTAAAATCTAGAGTCAGTGGGGGGTGAACACACAGGAAAAACCACAGCAGACAGCACTTCCCAGCAGTGTTCTACTGGGTTTCCTGAAGCCCCTTCCTCCACCTGCCCTGACCCACAATCATCCCAAGAATCCTTCCTTTGACGCTCCTCTCACTGGCACAGAGCAGCAGTTGCATCACTCTGCGGACCATGCGCTGCAGCCTGAGCATTAAGCACCTTTAATAAAACCAGTCACTACCAAGTATCTCAAGACAGCAACTCTTCACGTCAAGTATGGGAACACTCCTGCAATAAGCATATATTGGTTTTACTGAAATCCAAACGCAGCTCTCACCTACTTCAGCAAGAGCCTTCTGCTTGCAGACTGAGCCCAAGGAATGCCCCAAAGCCACCCAGAGCCCCAGGGCTGCCTGCAGCTCCCTTTCCCATGAATGCTCCCTTCCTTCCCAGTGATTTGTTCCATACTGAACACTGCACTACTGATGGTATTTAGCAACAAACAGCTGTTAGCTCCTGGAGTCAGCTTGTACCACTAGCCACGTAGCAGGTTCCAGCAATGACCAGGACAGTCACAGTTCTGCCTGCTTCTCCGAATCTAACCATTTTGTTATGGAGCTTTGCCTTACTTCCAGTCCTGGTTTACCTAAGTTGTATTGGGGAGAGGGAAGGGAAACCTCCCCTACAGACAGACTGATAACTTAAAACCATCTGTGACCGAGCAAACCCCTCCAAGAGGCTGACCTTCTTCCATTTCACAGCTTGTTTTCAACCCGCCCACCCAAAAGCCCTGTTAACCCCTCCATGCCAGCCGTGAATCTACTGCATCCTGCTGAAAACCTGCAACACTCAGCAGCTCCCACTGCCTGCAATGCAAACAAGATGCATTTTCCAAGGAAGCAAGCTCGTTCCCCTAACATGGGGCAGTGAAGAAGCATCAAAGAGGCAACAGCTGCAAGCCAGATATTCCAGGACTGAATTTAAAAAGATATTAGAAACACAATTCTTCCAATTTTCTGGTTTTCCTTTAATTCCTGTCCTCTCCAGTATATCAGTATGAAACCCACCAATTCTGAGTGATGACTGAAGCAGCTCTTCCTAGAGCCACCGGTGCCGACTGCACAGCAAAAGGCATAGCAAGAAGTGAAGAAAACAAGACTTGGTGATTCCAAAAAGCTGGCTATGTTCTCCTGTACACCAACAGACAGACAGGGTTGAAAGCCAGTCTCACACTACAGCCAAGCCACAGCATTCCTCTGCAGCACAGGTAGTTGTTCCCTCCACTGAAAGTCAGGGGGATGGCAGGGAGGCCTTGGGACAGAAATATTTAGGGATAAGCAATGAGCAAGGTATGCAAAATTCAGAAGTCAGGTTCAAATTTTACTTTGACATAAGTGAGAAAAAGTTGCACTCAGTTAAGGAAGGGCAAAGAGAATGGAATAAAGGTCTAAGTTCAGTGAAGGCAATGGGTTACCTGCAGCTCTACGCACAACATTCAGTCAAGTGATTCTGACAGCACTGCTCTTGCTGGTCACACACACATGAAATTCAGGACATCCTTTCTGTCAGATGTGGCTACGACCCAGGTGGATCAGGAAACAGTATTTTTTTTTTCTTACCTCTGCATGAGGTGTATGAGTGCCTTCTTTGCTCAGAACAACTGTTCTTAAATAAATGCAGCAAACACTGAAAGCCTCAGTGGGAGTTGTGCACATTCAGGTGCCGCAAGGGATTCAACTTACGTGGCTTTTTCCCATTCCCCCCACTTCAAACTAGAACAGATAACAAATACCCCCCCTTCTGATTTGCTTGCCCAACCTACCAATAGCCACAGGTTAAAGAAAGCCCTCAATCTTCACACTACAAACTATTTAATGCACTACACCCTCACCTGCAAGGAAATCTGTTAGTGAAACAGATGATACTGAAATCTCTGTGGAACTCCACGAGGCTGCAGCACGTGCAGCCTTCTCTCCTTCCTCACAGGATGCACAAACATAACATTTCAACATGTATATGTAATGTTTTCACATAACATACATCTCAGCACTGTTCCCGTAGTGCTCTGCCTGATCTTTGCCTGCAGAAGTCAATGCTGAGCACCCACAAAAGTGCCAGAGGTCACCACTGCTGGGAACGCAGCCCCCTTCCTTCTGCAGATTGTCTTCTGTCAAATTCTCTCCCCATCCAGAAGGAAAAGATCAGAACAAAATAAGTCGTATCCAGAGCTAAAAAGTCATGGCAGCGTCCAACAGAGAAGTAATCCAAACTGACAGAAACAACCGCGATGCAAGGAGTGACTGTTTCTCTCCCCTTCAACCTCTGCTTGCCCCAGGAGCTGCAGTGTTACAAAGGGCTCACAGCTCCCCTTCATGCAGACACGAGCTGATCAGGATCTGCCTCTCCCTCTGATCCCCTCTCCTGAAGGCGATCTCCAGGAGCTCCAACAAGCCATTAGCTCACAGCAACCCCAGCTACTCACAGAAACAGGCACGCAGCCCTCACCTGCACACGACTTCCTAAAGGTCCCCCTCTTCTCTGCAGTGTGCTCAGTGGTGAAGCTGCAGCTCCTGCAGTCCGTGCTCAGCTGTGGGATCAGCACCGGGTCCCTGGGATCCTCAGCTGCTCACTGCCTCGCCTTCTGCCTCTCTCCCTCACACTTGATCTCTCCCCCCTCTGGTAGGTGCAGGCTGTCACAGGGCTGTTATCCTGCCAGACATCCAGATCATTTTTTTTTTTTTTAATGGGAACCCGAGGCACCTGCCTCCTATTCGTTGTTATTTCAGTCCATACCAGTAATGGTGCTGCACAAATCTGGCAGTAATAAACATAATTCTGCAATGGTTCACAAGTCAGCTGAAGCTCTGCTTTTTCTGCAGATCGCGCTTCCTCCTCACAGCAATTCATTAAAACAGCTGAACAGCCCTGAATGAAACCACAGCTTGTTTTGAAACCAATCTCAAGAATAACTAAGGTTAACTAACTGATCAGATAAACTGAGATTCAGTTAAAGAGAGCAGATTTAAGGATAAGTCTCAAAAAAAAAAATATTCCTTTTTGAAATAATTCTTTAGAGTTGGTATTATGAACAAAAGAGAAGGACTGAACACACTTCCAGCACCAGCTCACCTGTACTGTGAATTTAGGAGCTTCCAGGTGGAAAGCACGAGGCTGTGTCCCTGTGGGGAGGCTGAGAGCAGCTGGGGCTGTTGCCCACATATCTGTGTACATCCCTCCATGGCAGCAGCTATCTAGAAGCCATTCACTGATGATTAGGGATCATTAGGCCAGGCTGGAAACAGAGATCAGATGCACACCAGGTCCTGCTCATCAGCAAAGGATTCCTCTGGTAGGAGACATCTATTGAGAATCACCTGGATCTAGTGTACATAAATGGGTCAGAGATCGTGTCAGCAATTAATTGTAAAGAAAGCATGGGAAGAGGCACACCAGGATAAAATGGCAGGAAGGTTTGCATTTTGTGTGTTGTGCAAGAAATCAGGTAACTCAAATGGAGCTGTTATTCCTTAACTCTTTTACTTTGAAGAAATGAGTTCTCTGAGGTTGGAGTCTCAGCTTCCTGGCATCACAGCAGCCACCTGAAATGAGGATCTCCTAACCTTCCCTCAGTAGCTAAGAACTTCCTGTTGGTGTGAGCTTGTGATGGCCCACAGTCTGCTGAGAAAAGAGAGCAACAGATTTAAGATGTTAAAGTGGCAAGTGACACATCCCAAATAATCACACTGATACACCTTTATGCACACTTAGCAAAATGCAGGAGGTCCTGCTGCAGAAGAACAAGAGCTTCTGCTTCAAAAAGAAGATAAATACAGGAGATGCTAAAAATCCATCTGATAAACTTGAAAATGCCTCACTCAACAGACCTCAAACTTAACGGGCAGCCTTATGTAACAGGCTTTACTTAGCAATCCTGACACATCCCTTTCCCATAACCCGCTTCAGTGATTTGTAAGCCTGAGCATTCCCTTCCCTTTGACAGCCCTCATAAAGATTATTTCCTATCACACATGTGAGAGAAGACTCCACTGGAAATCCACCAAATGCTGTGTCAGAGCTGACTTGGGATGTCAGTTTCCAACAGTATTTCATCCTAGATTAGTAAGTGGTAATTGGCTGTCTCAAAACTGCATTTGTCAGGAATGAGAATTCTTTGCCAAAATAAGCTATTCAGGTTTATTTACGATGTAGGCAGATTTTATTGCTCACCCACAGAGTATTACCCTAAAGCACAGCCAGCTCTGGCCTTCTGCACACTGAGGTTTGCAACTCAGCCATTAAATTGCCTGTTAGGAGTTGAACTGAAAGTAATAAAGACGAGGGTAAAACACATCTGTACAGCCTGTGCATGAAGTCTGGGAACCAGGGACCTTTGTTGTGAAAAAGAATGCTATCCATCCTGTGCTCTTCTCCAGCTTTATGCTCACAAGAATGGAGTCAAGGAGCAGACATGGTCACAAAGATAGTTGTACAACTATTGCACGTCCCTTTCCCCAGCCCTCTGTCAGCTCTGCACACTGGATCAATTATTGCATCTTAGGAAGCAGCAGGAAAACGTGAGCACGTGCCAAGCACTCAGTCATATACAAGAAACTGCCAAGACCTAACCTGCAGATAACCAAACTGGGCTTCTAATCCACCTCTTCCAGACACTTTCAAATGAAGTTACTGTCTGCTTGTGGCTGAGGAGATGAGCAGAGCTCACCTGGCCCAGCACCACCACCAGACAGACATGTGCCCTTCCAAGCTCTGACTGCTCTCTGGGTAACCTGAGCTCCCATGTGCGGGCACAAAACAGGACAGATGACACGAAGCAAGACAGTAAGCACCCAGCCTACAAATGTTGTCTTGGGTCCAGGCCCAAAGCAGTTCTGATATCACCCCACAACGCTGCCTTGGCTCACAGCTGGGAGTTCTCATTGGCCTTGTGAGGGACCATGCTGCATCACGAATCATAAAAGCTGAGCTTTTAGCCTCCAAACACCACATGGCAACCAGTTTCCTCATTCACTCTCCCATATGACAGTGACCTGATGTGTGACAGACTGCCACAGGCAAAGCCTCTGAATAGGAACTGTGTTACTGTACCTTGCAGCCCGATTTACAACTTGGTCCTCCGACAGCCTCCATGAGCTGCTTTTTACGTGTTGCCTCTGGTGTCACATGCTCTCTGCATTTTCTGCCTCAAAGCACAACTGTGCCAGCAGTCAAATAGACAGGCAGACTCCTGCCCGACTGAAGGGTGGAGGGACATAGTGAGCAGGTCACTTCTCATGGCAGATGGATGGACGGATGCATCACTGACACGGGCTGCATAATGTCAGGGGTGCTGATATACCACAGCAAGGCTGGGAGAAGGGAGGAAAGGAGGAGTGGGTGTCAGAGACAGATCCTGTGTCAGAACTGGTGACTGATGAGGGAGGGCTGCCTTCTGGGATGGCTGGCTGGGCAGACAATACCAGTGCCAGAAGCTGAGCAGGAGGAAACAAGACCCAGACCAAGGCCCTGAGTAACCCTGCATTTAGAGGGAGCTGGTGCATTGCCCTGGGGCAAGCTGAGTGGCAAGAAAATTGTGTGCAGTTAGGGCCTTACCAAGCCAATGTGTCCCTGTCAGTCTCTTGGACTGACAGATTTCAGAGTCACACATGATTCAGAGCTGTCTATGTTTGTGACAGCAAATGGGCCATCCTCACAGCCATTCATGCGCTTTCCATTTCATTCAGCTCATTTTTCAGGCAAGTCCTATTTTGGGCTCACCATTTACTCACCTCTTTTTACCCAGTAGTGGTGTCTGCTCTGAAGAGGGCTTTAAACAGAACAAAGGTATTACTCCTCCCGGGGTGACCATACAGGGGCAGAGCTGCCTATGGTGGAGGAGAGGAGAGGGAAAAGCTCACATGCTTATAATCTGAGAGGGTTGGCCTTTATTCCTCAGTGTCATTAGAATTTTGGACTCCCCCTTGGCCTCCAGGGCCAGCCAGGTCCCCCTGACAATTTCTCATTCATCACAGGGAGAAGGAAAGAATAAGCAAGATGTTCCTCCTGGACATTCTTATCTCTCCTTTCAAGGCAGCATTCAGGAAATGGGGTCCCACCCCAACGCAGCAGCAGACCAGGAGGCTGGCAAGGTTGCTGATGCAGGATGGACAACCCAGCACAGAGAACAAGGCGCCTGTCAGCCCAGGAGGGCACAGAAAGGATTCTAAAAAGTACAGAGCAATGAAATCAGTAATGGCTGCTGCTCACCTTCACAACCCTGAAGACAATATTTCTGAGCACTGTTTATATTGAGACTACATGCTCAGTTTTAAAACAGCTTTAGTTTTTTGTCCTGCACACCTATCCTACAATTCCAGCTTTTTCTTCCTGAAGTGCTTTCCCAGCCATTTATCACTGCCTTCCTCTGGGGTCATCTCACCATGCAGGCACGTTTGTTTTTCCAGTCTTTCTTTACTCACCCTGATCTACAGCTTGTATCTCCTTTGTAGTTTATGAACTTGCATCTCATTGATAAGAACATTGAGATCTGCTGCCCATCTTCTCTGGAAGGGTTTTGGCCTCCTTCCTGACTCTCTAGGTATGTCTACAAAAATAGAAATACACATTGCTGCCTTATGACTACATCCTTGAGAAATAAACTTCCTTAAACAACAAACCACAGGCGTCTGAGGCAGAGGCCAAGATACACTGGCTTTGCTACATGCCACAAAGGTCAAAAGACCCAAATTGCTGGATCAGACAGGAGGACAGAATGACAGAAGCAAAGGACACATAAATTTAATGACCGTCAGCTTAACTATGTCAGCTGATTTCTGAGCTCAACCGGAGGGTAAAAGGAGAGGGATGATCCCAGTTTGCCTTTATAAGTCTCGAAGCATCGAGGGCTCCTTCACACATCAGTATTTCTAGCAATTTCTTAAATGATTCACAGGTCCCAGGGATCCAGCCATGCTGACCTGGTCAGAAGGTGGCAGGAGAGCTGTGAGAGTGTCCCAAGCAGCCAAGCAGCAGTGCTCTCTGCTGTAGTTAGGAGAAAGGATTTACTATTTTCTATATCACATGGTTCTAACCACTGTTCCATATAGGCAAGATTACAGCACTCACACAAGCCCTGGTGAACCTGAAAGGCACCCAACCAGGTAGATGGTCACTGCATCACAGAGCCAGCAGTGAAAGGGGCTCTGCAGGACTCCCTTAAACCCCACATTGGAGCAGCTGTGGTTTGTTCCACTGGGTGTACTCTCCCCCAAGAACAGACATTCACCCCCTCTCATGACCTGCCCCAAACTTATATCAGCTTCCTAGACCTAAACCCCTGAGCTAACCTGTGACCACTGCCTGCTTTACGTGGCATCTCCAAGAAGCGTTTGGCCCTACAATCTCTATAACCACCCCACATTCCGCTGGCCATACTCCTGATTTAGCCCAGGATGCAGTTAACTTCATGATGAGCACACCACAGATGGTTTAGATTCAACATGGCATCCACTGCGACTTCTGTGTCCCTTCCTACAGGGCCCCAGCTCCTTTTCCCATTTGTTCACTGTAAGCAGCACGTGGTCTCTACAAACATTCAGCTACAGGATTCAAATCAGATCTGAGGAACGGCGAGGTGAGGGCTGGACAGAAGAGCGACTCACAGAGAGGACTCTGACTTAGCTCTTCCTTCTTG